CTCACACCTGGGTGCCTGCATGACCGCTCTCTAACAACAAGTAAATCTTAAAATGAATGAATGAATGCCTGAATGAATGTCAGAGCATTTAGATTCTCTCGGTCTCATTTTCCTCTCCACATTTACTGAACAACACTCTGGAAGAATTACAACTGTTATATTTCTGAACCTTGAACAAAAATGTTACATGCATCTGTATTCATACAGTGATGAAGTCCTTGGAGATGACTATGTTCTATTATTTGGAAAAATAGTAGAGACAGCATTCTGGTAGGCAGTTCTGCTGACTGGTGCTTGATACAGAGCCACACATTGGTTTCTTAGTGGATTTGTGTAGAAAATAGACACAAAGTTATTTCTGAATAAGACTTTTTTTTTTTAATTTTAAATAATCCTTTGGACACTAACAACTAGAGCTAAATCCTTATGCATATAGGTAATGTCCTTTGAAACTTTCCTAGAAGTGATGGCCTCCCTTTTTTTTTTTTTTTTTAAAGATTTTATTTATTTATTTGAAAGAGAGGCAGTGAGAGAGAGCATGAGCGAGGAGAAGGTCAGAGGGAGAAGCAGACTTCCCGTGGAGCTGGGAGCCCTATGTGGGACTCAATCCCGGGACTCCGGGATCATGACCTGAGCCGGAAGCAGTGGTCCAACCAACTGAGCCACCCAGGCGTCCCATGATGGCCTCCCGTTCTTAGTGATGAATTGGTTTCTGGAGCTATAACGATTTACATTGTATAGGAACTTTTTTTCTTCCAGGTAAAAGCTTTTATTGAACAGATTGGTAAAAATGTTAGCACGTGTGCAGTGAAATGGGTGTTCTCACAGTCATGGCAGAAATACAAATATCTGTCACCCTCTAGAAAACAATTTGTTTACATAAACCCTCTCTGTTTTGGCAAGAAAAATAACTGACCACCCCAGGCTGGCCTTATGACTTGGGAGCTCCCAGAAGGAGAATTTTAGTCACAGAGAAGACCTAGATTTCTCTGGCTGAGCCCATCAGACAGCTAATCACCGGGAGTGGAATGGGCTCATAGAGACCTGTGACCAAGGTTTGGGTCAAGGGAGAGAGCTAGAAAGATGGGAAGGAATTAGGGAAGCTAGCTCCAATGGAACCACGTAGGTTAATATACAATGGTGAAGGGATGTTTCTTCCAAGGAAGACATTCTGGGTTGGGCTATGGAAGGTGTAGAGAAGGCAGCTATTCTAAAACTTTTGGAGTCAAAACTTTTATACTGTTTAAAAGTGAGGGGCACCTGGGTGACCCAGTTGCTTAAGCATCTGACTCTTAGTTTCAGCTCAGGCCCTGATCTCAGTGTGTGAGATTGAGCCCACGCTCAGCATAGGGTCTGCTTAAAACTGATTCTCTCTCTCTCTCTCTGCCCCTTGACCCCTGTAAAATAAATCCCCCCCCCCCCAAAAGTGTGCTAAGGGCCAAGGAGCTTTTTTTTTAAAATTAATTTTATTAACATATAATGTATTATTTGCCCCAGGGGTACAGGTCTGTGAATCATCAGGCTTACACATTTCACAGCACTCGGAATAGCACATACCCTCCCCATTGTCTATAACCCAACCACCCTATCTCTACCCCTCCAACCCCACAGCAATCCGCAGTTTTGTGAGATTAAGAGTCTTTTATTGTTTGTCTCACTCCCAATCCCATCGTTTCATTTTTTTCCTTCCCTACCCCCCCATGTCCACCCCTCAACCCTCCCTCTCAAATTCCTCATATCCGAGAGATCATATGATAGTTGTCTTTCTCTGATTGACTTATTTTGCTCAGTACAATACCCTCTAGTTCCATCCACATCGTTGCAAATGGCAAGATTTCATTTCTTTTGATGGCTGCATAGTATTCCATTGTGTGTGTGTGTATATATATATATATATATATATACCACATCTTTATCCATTCATCTGTTGATGGACATCTAGATTCTTTCCATAATTTGGTTACTGTGGACATTGCTGCTGTAAACATTTAGGTGCACGTGCCCCTTTAGATCACTACATTTAAATATTTATGGTAAATACCCAGTAGTGCAATTGCTGGGTCGTAGGATAGCTCTGTTTTCAACTTTTTGAGGAAATTCCATGCTGTTTTCCAGAGTGGCTGCACCAGCTTGCATTCCCACCAACAGTGTAGGAGGGTTCCCCTTTCTCTGCATCCTTGCCAGCATCTGTCGTTTCTGACTTGTTAATTTTAGCCATTCTGACTGGTGTGAGATGGTATCTCATTGTGGTTTTGATTTGTATTTCCCTGATGCCGAGTGATGTGGAACACTTTTTCATGTGTCTGTTGGCCATCTGGATGTCTTCTTTGCAGAAATGTCTGTTTATGTCTTCTGACCATTTCTTGATTGGATTTTTTGTTCTTTGGGTGTTGAGTTTTCCCCAATGTCTATAACCCCACCACCCTCTCCCTAACCCCCTCCCTCGTGCCCCCCTCAGTTTGTTTTGTGACATTAAGAGTCTTATGGTTTGTCTCCCTCTCGATCCCATCTTGTTCCATTTATTCTTTTCCTACCCCTCAAACCCCCCACGTTGCATCTCTACTTCCTCATATCAGGGAGATCATGTGATAGTTGTCTTTCTCCGATTGACTCATTTCGCTAAGCATAATACCCTCTAGTTCCATTGTTTGGTTTTTTTTTTTTTTTTTTTTTGGAACTAGGGTCTAGATGGTATGTTCTCAAACTAGGCTGAAGAATTTGAAGAAGAAAATGCAATACTCGATAAATAGTTTTCCTTAAGAACAGGATTGATTTTGAAGATAGTTTTTCTTTTAGTCTGTGAATAGGTTTGGGACACACTGAAAAGTAGAGGAATGAGACTACAAAATAAACCATTATTGAATAGACCTAATGATGTCCTTCAGTACAGTTTTCATTTTTTTTAATTGTTGTTGTTCTTTAAAAAACATTTGGTGAAGTGCTTCAAAGACAGTTTCTTTGGCTTCAGCTATTTTGTAATTGAGATTATAGTTCTCAAAGCAATGCTTCTTTAATACTGTGTTTCTTCAAAATTGTTTTTCCATAACCAGAACCTAATTATTTGGCAGCTAGTATATAATAATAATGACTTTTTCCTAATCTATAATAGAAAACAGTAGAGAGTAAATGTCTATTAATAGTAAAGCATGTAAGGCTTTTTTCTGTTAACCTTTAAAAATCAACACATGTAATTTTACTTTTAAAAATATGTAACTATAGCATTTCTTGAGAGTACTCCTTTTGCGACGGAATAAAATACTAGTATTTTATGGGGTTTGAATTAGTTGTATATTGCTCTATAACAAATGTAGTAGCTTAGAACAGCAACATTATCTCACAGTTTCTGTTGGTCAGGAATCTGTGCATGGCTTACCAGGGTTCCTTGGCTCTGAGACTCTCACCAGGCAGTAAAGATGTTGACTAGTGCTACAGTCATCAAAAAGTGAGACTGGGAGAGAATCTTCCTCCATTCTTATTTGTGTAGTTTTGGTATTACAGGCCTTCTGTCTGAGGGTGGCAGGTGGTCAGAGGCCTCTCTCCATCTCTTGCCATGTAGCTGTGGGCTTCTCCATAGGGAGATGGCTTCAATGAGGGGGTGGGGGTAAGATGAATGAAAGAGCAGGAGAGGGTGAGCAACAAAGAAGTTCTTATCTTTTTTTTTTTTTAAAGATTTTATTTATTTGTTTGACAGATCACAAGTAGGCAGAGAGGTGGGGGAGGGGGGGAGCAGGCTCCGTGCTGAGCAGAGAGCCCGATGTGAGACTCCATCCCAGGACCCTGGGATCATGACCTGAGCCGAAGGCAGAGGCTTTAAAACCACTGAGCCACCCATGGGCCCCTAGAAGTTATCTTTTTGTAACCTAATCTTAGGAGTCACATTCCATCATTGACTGTATTATTGTCTGTTAGAAGTGAGTCTGGGGAGAGAATTATACAAGGCAGTGAATACCAGGTTAGGATGCTTGGGACCATTTTAGAGGTTGCCCATCACAGTGTTCAGGAACATTATTGACCCCTGAGCTGTAGCACGCAGATAGTGGCTGTACAAGGAGGATGCCTCTTTCCAAAGCCCAGCTTCTGTGGTGAGTGAAACCTGTATATACCATATGGTCACTATATGGCTGTTTGTTCTGACTTCTAACACCAGAGATATTGAAGGAATAATCCTAATCTCAGTTAAGGAATCTATTCCTTTAGAAACTACATCCCTCCCTACAATCTGAGAAGGGTTGGAAATTATTAGGAAAAAGGCAAAATTTAATGGGATTGATTTTGCGGGGGGCAATTTTCTAATGGAGAAAAATCTCAAAGTAACTTCTGTAATTACTTAGAATAGGGAGTATAGGGAGTAAGAAGATTTTTAAAAAATCATTTTAGTATTTGTAAGGATTTAAAAATATATGCCTAGATTATACTCCTTTGCTTCACCTTTAAAAATTGAGGTAGATCTCATCTAGATAAAGTTTAGAAATGTAGCTTTATTATATTAAAAGGCAAAAGTAGTATGGCTTAAATTTATAAATTATACTTCAAGGTTGTGAGGTGGTTGTTTTAATTTTTTTGCTTTTATTTTTGAGGGATTTATCCAGGCCATGATTGACCCTTCTTTGTAAAGGAAGGAAGCTCATCTTTCCTGGTACTTGAGCACCATTTTTTTTTTTTTTTCCAGCTTGTGATAAAACCTAACTTTTGCAGTGTTTCTCTTCTATTTTAAATGCTACTACTTATTGGGTAAACTAATTTTTTTTTTTGCTTGATTTTTAAATGTATAAATTATGTAACATGGAGCAGGCAAAATTACACCATACAACTGTTTAAAAAAAAAATCCAGAAAATAAAAAACAACTTTTCTCCATGCCTAGATTTTAATGGGTTGCTTTTCTTCACCCTGATATATTTTACTTAAATCCGTTGTCATCATGTCATTTGATGGTATGTTAACTTGCATTTCCAGATTAGTCTATATGTAAATATGTTTAACATAGGTGTCTCTGTAACAGGAATCTTATCCATCTTCTTCACCAATATGGTTTGTGGACTCTGATGACCCAAATCTGACATCAGTGCTGGAACGTCTAGAAGATACTAAGAACAACAATTCGGTGAGAAAATAACCCAACCTACTATTTTTTCCCCCCTAAAGAACACTGTATGTAGAACGTAAGTGTTGAGAGGTAATATGATATAGAAAAGCCTGATTAATGATTATTTGATAATCTTAAAGGAGCTCAAGACCAGTTTTGTCTGTTTTTTGCCGAATTCTGTACTACCTGATTTATCTTTTTTTATTCCCCATATGCTAAACCTTAATTTAGATGAGGAGTTAGGTGGTCTCTTTTCAATGAATTCTCACTTTAAACCTACCAGACATTTTTAGTAGGGAACACTAGCCAAGGTTGAAGATAGAAAAAGAAAAAAAGACTGAGGTGGATGTGAGGGGAAATAATGCTAGAATGACATCAATGCTTGTGGGTTTCTCTCTCTCACAAGTCTGTAACTGCAGTAATAACTAACCATAAGTATACAAAGAAAATGTGTTTTTTTTGTTTGTTTTTTTAATATATGAAGAAGTATAACTTTCCATTTTATAAAAAAATTTTAGAAATCTTTTTCTTTGATGATAAAAATAAGCAACTACTGTGAGAGTACTTAGTAAAATAAAGGGAAATAATATTTCTGCCTGATATAACCACTATTGACATGGTAGTTCTTTTCTATCAGTATTTTTTCCCTTGCTAGTAAAATACATGGACTCTAATATGTTTAAATAGTTGAGGTTGTATTCTGTATAGTTTCATATCCTTCTTTAAAATTAAGCTAGAATGAAAGATTTGACTACTGTATTGCTAGATGGCAGACTCCATATTACAAACATGTCTGTTATCTTCGTAGCGTTATGTTAGTTTATAAATTGAATGCAGTTAATCCCAACAGTCTTATTTTTGGAGCTTGACAAAATGACGCTAAAGTTGGTTTTAAAAAGTAAATAATAAAAAAAAGTTGAAAAAAGTAATGAGAGACTTGTCCAATTAGATATTAAATAAAAATATTATGTACTGGTACTGGACTGGACAGGTAAAGATAAAAGAAGTTTAAAAACAAAGTCATGCTATTGAGAATTCAGAATAAGTTAAAATACTCTATAAAGAAAGAGTGGAATATTCTATAAATATCATTGGGAGAACTGACTATCTGGGAAGTTAGAATCTAACAACAGAAGCAATCGGTTTGAGGAGTATTTTTAGAGTAGAGGCTGGACTGGAGAGCCATGAAGGTTAGAGGTAAAAATAAAAAGGTAGTCAGATTCACATTTCTAGCAGAGGAGTGACAGGACAGGAAAAGATGGCCCTCTTAAAAAAGATGGCCGTCTTACTGCTATCTCCTTTTAGGAGGTTAATTCTAAAAAGATCTAAAGGTAAAAGTTTTGTAATAGTAGAATTGACTGGATTATTTTTCAGTGTCTAACATTTTTCATCAAAAGATGCTCTTAAAATGAAATGACATAGGACATAAAATTGGGTCTCATTTTATTTTTTAAAAATTAACATATTTACGTAAAAGAAGAAAACCAGAATACCTTCTACTCTTATAGTCTCTGCCAGTTATTCTATCACCTAATTTCTTGACAGAATAGGTTGTATTTCCTCACCTTTGCTTTACTTAATTCATTATAATCTGGATCCTACCTTCATTGTTGCACTTAAATTTTTTATGTCTAGTTGCCAAATCCAAGGAATCCTTTTTTAACCCTAAAATTGGCCTCTCTGCAAGAGTTTGATAGTGGTGATTATTCCCTTGTTGAAATATTCCTCCACTTAACAAACATTTACTACCTAAACAAACATTTACTACCTTACAATCAAAAGCAGGTTAAATAAAAACTACTGTGTATAGAATAGTTTTATGATAGAATATTACATTGTAGTTACAAAGAATGCCACTAATCTTTTCATAAGAATGTATATAACTTTCTAAGATACACAAGTGAAAAGGCAAGGCATAGAATATTGTTTATATTCTGGCTCCTTTTGCAAACAGTGTTGTAAAAATTAAAAAAAATAAATCCGTATCTTTTTTTTTTTTTTTTTTAAATGCATACCTTCTCCTTCTGGGTCTCTACAGAAAACTGTTAATAGAAGAACAGAGAGAAGTTTGTTATTTTATTTTATTTTATTTTTTTAATTTACTGGCTTCTATGCCAGGCTCTGTAATAAGTGATGGGTACAAAAGTCAAGTCCTGTCCTTGTCCTCTGGAAACCAATAATCTTAGGAGAACTTCCATTGGATTACTGTCTCCTGTTTTTATCTCTTCCTAACCCTATCTTGGTCTTCCCTGAGCTCTTGTCCCTTGGTCTGCCTCTTTTCATTCTATGCTTTCTCTGAAAAATCTCTTTTACTACTATTACTTAAATCATGGTTTATATTCCAGGGATTCCTAAATCTGTTTCTTTAGCTAAAATATATCTCCTGAGTTTCAGATGCATACATCTACCTATGTATCCTGTAGATCCAGGGAATCACTTGGATGTGCCATGGCTGTTCAAAATGATTATATCTAAATTTAACCTTCCCTACCTTGTGGCTCCAGCACGCCAGTTTCTCTTCAGTAATTCTGTGATTGTGAGTGGGACAAGATGAAATAATGAAGCTTGTCACCCATGGCTGAACTATGGAACTAAAAGTTCTTTTTTATACCTTTATTTCCTGACACCTCCCTTCTCCAGACCTAGTAAGTTTCTAATACCTATCCATCTACCTTCTAGATATTTCTTAAATCTTTTCCCACCATCTTAGTTTCTTCTACCCTTTAAATGCTTTTTGGGGAGAGGGAGCGTAGAGTTGAAATTCCTGGAAAGCTATACAACCCTATTTTTCTTGTCGCTTGGTCTGACTTTGCCACTTGCTGCCTCTGCTGCAGCATTCCCATGGCTCTTCCTTTGTCACGGGTTGGAGTGTCTGGGACTGTGTCCAGGTTACCATTTGTCATCTTCATTATGTTCTTGAAACAAAACAGAGCTTATTGGACGGGTAGATCCATGGTGCCTTTTAAGCTTGAGGATTTTTTTAATCCTGATTTACTGCTCAGCTTTCCTAATTTCTGCTTGTTCTTTTGGCTACTTTGGAAAGTCTTATTCTTTTCTTTTTAACCCATTCTAATTCTGTTTCTGTTTTCTTAGTCCTTCAGCAACCTGCTTTTTCATCTCTTTTCCTGATCAGAGACATCTGGGAAACTGTCCCTGACCAGGTGAAATAAATTACCTTATTAGTTCTGGGTAAGGTCTACTAAGTATTGAACATTGTTCTGAAAGCACAATTCCTAAACACATACATTGAAAGCAGCTTTTTTTTTTCCAACAGTAAAAAACATGTTTGTGAACATAACTTACCTTGATTCTTTGCTTAAAGTAAATATGCTTACAAAACAATTTGGATGTAAAAATGGGAACTTAATGAGTTACTCCTTTCAGTTTTCTTAGTGCTTTTTTCACCTTTTTTTTTTTTTTTTTTTTTTTAATTTGGGCAGATGCTGAAGAACCTACAAGTGCCAACTCTTTTCACAGGTTTCATCTTATCTTTACCATTATAAGAAGTTTTTAATTTCCTTAGTTTACAGATGAGGGCCCTCAAACTCAGGGAATTAGATGCTGTATCCAAGGTCTTTTAGATTCCAGGAGTATGTCTATTAGACCACGTTTGCCTCTTACTTTTAAATGAATGACTGGAATATATAATTTTATAACTCGTGTAACATCACTGCCTGTATTTTTTTGTCGTCTCATTAATGTAAATGTATTCTTGTCTGAAGTCATAAGTTTCCTAAGAAAAGGAGTTAGCAACTGAAAATTCGACAATGTCTGGAGCTCTCCTTCCTCAGCCTTTTTGTTGTCATTCTGCTAGGTATTAGTTATAGGGATTGTACTCAAGCCATAGTGACTTTCTTATACTAGCAGCCCCTAAAAATATTTCTTAAAGACTGTTATTTTATCTGTAGGCTGTAATTGAGCAGTAACAAACTTTTTTCATTTCCTACTGGATTGGTTACAGTAGTCATAGCATTATTCATGTCTTCTAAGGGCTCTTTAACATAATGCTTATTTACTGAAATGTGTTTTGTAGCTTCGTCAGCAATTGAAGTGGTTGATATGTGAACTCTGCAGATTATATAACCTTCCTAAGCACCTGGATGTTGAGATGCTAGATCAACCAATACCCACGGGTCAGGTAAAGTAAAAATTCTCTAGTGTTCAAGAGCTAAAATAAATTGTCTCAAGCAAAAGTAAAAACTAGGATGATTTTCCTTCTTAACTTATTTAGAGGTTAGTCTTGTTGGATTGTTTGTTTTATTTTAGATACTAAAAATAACCTATTTACTCTTTGGAGCTGCTGGTATTTACTATGACAGGGAAACAACTGCTTCCCTCCCCACTACTACCTTTTTGTTGTTGACATTCCTGATTTCCATAACTGTTCCTTCAGTTGTTTCTCTTTGCTTATTCATTTACCTTCACCTGGAATGCCATCTCCTTTTAAGCCTATCTGGGTTCCTTAAGGCTTAACCCAAATGTTACTTCCTTTAGCAGCAGAAGTGCCCACTAGCTCACCACCACCTCTAACTTTGTGATTTCCAGCTTTACCTATTTAGGGCATAATTTATGGACTTTGTGCTATAAATAAGGATTTAGCTCTTATACAACCCACCTTCCCCCCCTCTCCCATCTTAAAACACCATTATACTTCGTCATATGAATAACCATTGTTTATTATTAGGACTTTGTAGTGTAGCATTTTCTATCGTGATGTTTCTTGTAGATTCTTTGTTTTGCAATGTCCTCCTTATTATAATAATCCTTAGTTTAAAAAGTGATGTTCTGCCCCTTTTCTGTGAGCTCTTGCCTCTTCTGTAGTCTTCCTGTGGTTCTTTTGCACCAGTCTTGGCAGGTTGTCTCTGGACTGGCTGTGTAGGTGTCACCTTGAGATTTTGTCTCCTCTGCTAGTGTGGATCTGTTGTTACCTGATCTCATGTCCTCTTTCTTGCTTACTCTTTCTCATTTTGCCTGAGTACATCCTCATGTAAAATCCTAGTGTGGAATAGTACATTTTCTCAGTTCTAACATCTAAAAATATGACCAGACCACCATAGGTTTGAATCTTGGTTCTGATGCTTATTAGTTGTATGACTTTGTGATAATTACCCAAGTACTGTGTGCATCAGTTTCTTGTTTGTAAAATGGGGGAAACAGTAGTACCTATATTTGGGGAGGAGCTGTGAAGAGTAAATGAGTTAGTACATATAAGTCATTTAGAGCAGTGCATGGATTATAGTAAATGCCCAGTAAATGTTAACTGCTATTATATTTCACTGTTGCATTTGATTGACAGATTGAATATATAATTCTGGGTTGAAAATAATTTTCCCTCAGAATTTCAAAGACTGTGCTGCTGTCCTTTAGCCAGTGGTGTTGTTTAAGCCTGATGCATTATAAGTCTGTGTGTGACTTGGGACACTTTGAAGAGTTTGTGTTGGTGTTCTCAGATATCACAATGGTGTGTTTTTAGTTGTGGATTTTTGTGTTTTTCATTGTTGCTGGACTCTCAGTATGGATGGGTCATTTCAAATGTGGGCTCCTTTATCTTTCTCCTCAGGTAAGTGTTCTTGTATTTTTTTTTTTTTTCTGTGATAACTCCCTCCTTTCCATTTTGTTTATTTGTTCATTTTTCGAATGCCTCCTAATTGTCTTTTAGACCACCTTTGCTTGAGCCTTTGTATCTTTTATATTATCTCCATATTCTCTTTTTTAATTTCAAATTCTGGAATTTTTTCCTTCAATTTTAAAAAATTGGAGAGCATAACTTTTTTTGGTTGTGTTTTGATTATTTACTGCTGCTTAACCACTTACCCCAAACTTAAATTATTGTATTTCTCACCATTGTGTGGGCTGATTAGGCTTAGCTGGACAGTTTTGTTTTGTTTTGTTTTGTTTTTTCCTGCTGGGCTCATTGCACATTCAGATAGTGGCTGCACCACAATGTGCAAAATGCTTCTTTACTCTGCACTTTTCCCTTGGCATCTCCTCTTCTTGGATGGACCTCTTTTTGTGGCTTCTCTTTCTTCCAAAAGTTAGGCCACATTCTTAATTTTTGGCTGCCAAGAGCACAAAAGTAGAAGCCGCCAGGGGGTTCTTAAGACTTAGATCTGTACCTGGCCCAGTGTCCTTTCTGCCACATTTACTGGTTAAAGCAAGTCACGGGGCCAGCCCAGATTGACTTTGGGAGGGACCATATAAGGGGATGAATGCTGGGGAATGTGGGTCAAGGTCATCTCCAATGATGTCCCATAAATTCTGAGACCCCTTTCTTGTTCTGATTATTCTTTATTCATAGCATTCCAGTTTTGATTTATAGATGTAATCGTGAGTGTCCTTAAGGAGTTACTTTGATACCCTTGTCTTCTCCTTCTCTAACGTCTCGTCTCGTCTCGTCTCGTTTCATTTCTTTTCTCTTTCTTTCTTTCTTTCTTTCTTTCTTTCTTTCTAAGATTTTATTTATTTGAGACAGAGTGAGAGAGAGCACAGGTAGGGTGGAGGGGCAGAGAGAGAGAGGGAGAAGCAGGCATGACCTGAGCTGAAGGCAGGCACATAACTGACTGAGCCACCCAAGTACCCCTCTATTTTCTCTTCAGTAAGTTTTTTTTTTTTCCTTGTTTATATTGGTCTTGTTTTTCTTTTTGAAACTATTCCTCAAATATCAATTCTATGTTACTCATATTTTTCTTTTTTTCTTCCTTTCTTACTTACTTCCTTTCTTACTTGTATTTGAGCAAGGTACTAAAAAGATAATTGAGAGTTCTTTGTGGCCAAGACTTGTCAACGGATAGCTTTTAAGAGGAATTTAAGCTGACTTCCAACCCCCACCTCCCAGTTTCTATTTTCTGGTGTAATAAAAAATGGGGGCTGGAACTACTTGGTTTCTTTGGACATGAAATTTTACAATCGCCTGCTTGAGGTAGATCTCTCAGCCTGGGTTCTGCTTAAGGACAGAGGGGAGAGGGACACCTGGGTGGCTTAGTCAGTTAACCATCTGCCTTTGGCTTGGGTCATGATCCTAGGGTCCTGGGATCGAGTCCCACGTTGGGCTCCTTGCTCAGTGGGAGCCTGCTTCTCCCTTGGCTTGCTGATTCCCCTGCTTGTGCTCCTTCTCTTTCTCCCCCTCCCTCCCATCTCTTTCTGACAAATAAAACAAAATCTTAAAAAAAAAAAAAAAGGATGAAGGTTGGGCACTGTGTTTTGGGGACTGGACGTGTTCTGTGTACAGGCTTTTGGTTGATCTGTTTTCAATTCTATCCATTATTCCTGCTGTCTAGTGTACCCAGGGTCTTAGAATCTAGAGGCTCTCCAGAGTGCTTGGAGACAAATTAGCCTCCTATAATCCCCTAACCTACTTTACTTATTTGCTCTATTAATTACCATTCTTCCATTTAGTGGCATTTACTAGCATGCATGAATTGTCTTTTCTGCTGGTAGCCTCATTTCCTTTTTTTATTATCATTGTATGTTGTATAGTGTTTATTCACTATAATTCTAATGGAGCTTCAGGAAAGAGAGAAGATGGGAGAAGCATATATATACACTATGTTCAATTTGCCCACTCTGGGATGTCTGCAACTTGTGTTTCTCACTTAATTATATATCATGGACATGGTGTGTGTGACAAGGACAAGGTGATTTACCTTGTTTTTCATAATTGTGCGTGTGTAGAGATATAATTTGTGAATTACATGAAAAAATTGCTAATTGTGAATTCATCCTTATATTCATAATAAATACTGAGCACCTGCATAGGTGGTAGCTGCAGGGACACAATGGATATCATAATACTTTATTTTTGGCTTTTTCTACTTTAAGTGAGATTGTAATGTAGTTTGGTTTGCTTACTTATTTCCTTTTAGGCTCTTGTTTCATTTCAGTGTCAGAGTTAGTAGTCTCCTAAAATGACTTGGTAAAATTGTGTATTTTTTTTTTTCTGAAGTCTAGGGCACTTTATTTATTTTTAAAGATTTTATTTATTGAGAGAGAGCTAGAGAGACCACAAGCAGGGGGTAGGGGGAGAGGGAGAAACAGACTCCCCGCTGAGCAGGGAGCCCTCTGCAGGACTCAATTCTGGGACTCTGGGATCATGACCTGAGCCAAAGGCAGATACTTAACCGACTGAGCCACCCAAGTGCCCCCAAAGTCTAGGACAGCTTAAGTAAAATTACAGCTGGGTCCAGTTTTTCCTCTCAGGAGACATCTGGAAATATCTGGAGATAATTTTGGTTGTCACAGCTGGATGGGGTGAATGCTATGGGCGTTTTGTGGTAGAAGGGATGTTACTAAATGTCCTACAATGTCCAGTGAGTCCTGCATGACAAAGAATTATCTAGCCAGAAATAGCAGTACTTCCAAGGTTGAGAAACCATGGTTTAAATAAAATCTGAGCCTGATCCATTTTTCTCTTTTTCTAAGTATTAGTCTTCATTTTTCCCATTCCTCAATTTTAGTAATTTTATATTCTAAAAAAAAAAAAAAATCACTTCCATCTGTACTTTTGAACCTATGGCTATGAAGCTGTTTTCATTTCTCAAGTTGTTTTCTTTGTCATGACTACTTGTCAGAAGCTTGTCTGATTTATATTGGCCTTTTGATAGAACCAGTCCTTTTATTTTTTAAATATAATTTTCTTTTTCATTTTTGTGTGAGTCTTAACCTTTTTGTTCTTTTGCTTTTGTAGTTTATTGGACCACTGTGATAAATTGCTTTAATGAACATGTGAGAGGTATACATTTCCTTCTGTGTGCTGTTTAACTTCATTGCATAGGTTTTAAGATTTAGTATATTTATTTTCTAAATAGTTTGTATATCCTGTGATTTGATTCCATATTTTGTTCGTATTACTTTGTTATATTTCACAAGAAGTTGTATAGGTGTTGAAAATATATGAACATTAGTGTAATAACTAGTTACAGTGAATACCTGGGAATTATCACCCAGCCCTGACCTAAGTGAAGAAACAGAATATTGCTATCACTGGAAACTTTTTGGACGTGCCTTCTAGATGATCATTTTTTTCTATGCTAAACTTTTCCTTTTCCCTTGTTATTAACATGTATATCTGCATTTCTCAACAATATGATTTAGTGTTGACCGTTTTTAAGCTTCATATTACGAGTCATACTATATGTGTGTTCTTTGTCTTTTGCTTAACAATTGTGTGTTAAATTTATTCATATGAGTGGCTATAGTTCTTTTCATTGCTATATTTATTCCATTCTTTGAACCTACCATAACAGATTCCTCCATTTGAGTTTGCTATTAGGAACAGTGTGGGGCGCCTCATTGGTGCCTTTGGTTAAGCCTCTTGGTTTTGGCTCAGGTCTTGATTTCATGGTTGTGAGGTTGAGCCCCATGTCAGCCTCTGTGCTCAGAGCGGAGTTGGGTTGACATTCTCTCTCTCCCTTTACCTCTCTTTCTCCCGGTTTTGCTTGTGATCTCTCTCATTCTCTTGCTGAAAGAAATAAATCTATCTTAAAAAAAGAAAAAGAAAAAAAAAAAGCACACGTATGCTACCATGACCATTCTTGTCCAGTTTTGTGGGATACCTATGTGAGCATTTTTCTGGGCACATAATATAGAAGTTGGTTTACTGGAGCATGAGGGTCAATTTCTTCTTAAAACTAAGAGTTCTTTAGAAAGAGTTTTTGACCTTCTCAGGTGGACTTTGGGCTATTTTTAGTTTTTCACTCTTTACGATATGGCTTGTAACTTCTCAGCTCAATTTTCAGCAATTGCTTAAACTTAACCATTGGTGTTATTATGTCTTTGCTTATTGCTGTATATTTTATATTCCATGGTTGCTTCCTACCTCTGAAAATGTAGCCCTCAATGATGTCTCTATTTTTATTTCTAGAAAGGATTTCTGGGACTGTGCGTGGAGAGTGTTCCTTGAATACTTGGTGTCTGTTTTTATTATTCATTGAACAACTGTCCGTCTGACTCTGTGCAAAGTACTCTATAGAGGTGCTGAGAATCCAGTGGCAAAGGATATGGTACCTGTCCCAGTGGAACTAGACATAGACTTCATAATTCAATCTCTTCTAGGTTCTTTATACTTTTATCTTCTAATATATATTGTTACAAGTGAAAAGCCTGATGTCTGGTTCTTCTTTTCCTCTATTTTTTTTTTTTTCCTTTCTGGAAGTTGTATGGTTTTTTTTTCTGCGAAGTATAGGGGTTTACTTTTCAACATTCCTTTGGGTCATTCAGAGCCACTTAGTATTCTGAAGTCTTTCTTTAGCTTGACAACCTTTGTCTCTTATTTCTTTCCCTCAGTCTTATGGGTAGATAGCAGATGAATATTAGTTCTGGGTATTCCTGTCTCCCATTTCCCATAACTCTTCTCTATCAATACCTCTTCCCTCCCCACCCCCCTGTCTCCTTTTCTCCACATTCTAAGGGAATGTTACAGTTTGGTCATCTTCTTAATCATAAATGTTTTGGTCATTCAAATCCATTGTGCTCTCTGGTTCTTCTACTAGGTTTTTTTTCCACTTTATCTTTTTTTTTTTTGGTGAGGCGGGGAATATCTTTTTCATTTCCCAGAACTGCCTTTTCCTTTGCGTGGTTATCTTTTTTTATATTGTGTGGACACAGTATCTTTTCAAGTACTGCTAAGGATGCCAATTAGATTTTTTTAAATTTTGTTCATTAATAATGCTTCAGTTTGCTTGTTTTGTCTGTTTGACTTGGTGCCTTTTTTTCAGATTGCCAGTTTTCTTCAAGTATCTAGTGATACTTGGTTATCTGCTCATTTACAGATGAGATATACCATTGATCACATTATCAATGGTTGCTGTGAGTGCCCTCAGTAATTGTCACTCTTCTCTGCTGTGGCATCCCGCCCCCCCGAGTTTGTACACCTGTGCTCTGGCTATGGCATGTGAATGGAGAGGTACTGGCAAGCAGACTTTCCAGTTTGAGTTCAAGGAAGAGATGAGTGAGTTAGATTTTGCTGCTGTGTTGAGCTGTATTTCCAAAATGTGTCTTTTCTCTCTGGTTCTGATACCTATACTAAGAGGCCATCAAGTAAGGCCTCCTATATAAGAAAATGATGCTTACCAGCCGTAGTTGGAACAAATACAGCCAGTATATCTAGAAGGAAAAGAAAAATCCTGCTGTATGTGTTCTGTTGTGAACTCTGTTCTGGTTCAGATAACTTGTCTTTTTGAACTCTGCCAAAATTAGGTATGAAGGCCTTTCCTAAAACTCCATCAGATATTTGTGAATGAGTGGACAATTGTGTATTTGTAAGGACGTATTCTGTGGTAAATGACATGTTTAAAAAAAATGGCTCTTTAGTGAAATGGTGATCATTTTATAATTGTATAGTTTTGTGAAATGTCTACTGCTTCATGACACATTTTATCTTTTAAAATGTAAGGCAGTGGAATTTATGGAAAGATTTAGGCTTTTCAAAGTAAAAGATTAGGCTTTTCAAAGTTAAGGAGGATTAGGCTTTTCAAAGTTAAAGTAAAAGGTTTGGGATATTTGTTTTAAGAGAAAGGAGCCATTGACTTTATATACATAGCCATATGTGTAAAACATTTTCTTATTTTAAATTAGAATATTTAAAATTTTTTCCAGTTCTGCTTTATTGGACTAATTGCCGTTGTTTATACTCAAGGCATCTGTCAAGTTGAATTGTTCAAATTTTTTTTTTAAAGCTGATAAATATTATTTGTCACATCAAACCTGGATTTAAAAGTAAATATTCAACTTTAATAAATTCTGTTAGTGGAACTATAGTGACAGATGACTTGTCCCTGAAGTCTTCTAATTCTTCGATATGTGCTTATTCTGTGTATCCCTAGCAAATTCTTTTCCTTTTTCAGAATGGGACCGCAGACGAAGTGACTTCAGAAGAGGAAGAAGAGGAAGAGATGGCTGAAGTAGGTATTTATGTAAGAATCACATTTTATAAATACTGTATCTTCATTTTTAAATATTTTAGTAGTTGTCTAATCTTCTTTATTTTGAAATTGAATATAATTTCTAAAATCTGTCTTCATTTTAAATTCATGATATATTTTTGAGCAAAATGTTTGATTTCCTAGAAAATCTCTTAACATTTTAGCATTAAGATTATGTTTACATTTAATAGTAGCCAATACTTAATCCATATTTGGTTATTTTTAAGAAGAGTAACTAGTAAGTTTAGAAAATTCAGAATTTAAGACTCAAAATGGATGAAAGACCTCAGTGTGAGAAAGGAATCCATCAGAATCCTTGAGGAGAACACAGGCAGCAACCTCTTTGACCTCAGCCACAGCGACTTCTTCCTAGAAACACACCAAAGGCAAGGGAAGCAAGGGCAAAAATGAACTGTTGGGACTTCATCAAGATGAAAAGCTTTTGCACAGCAAAGAAACAGTCAACAAAACCAAAAGACAACTGACAGAATGGGAGAAGATATTTGCAAATGACATATCAGATTAAAGGGCTAGTATCCAAAATCTATAAAGAACTTATCAAACTCAACACCCAAAGAACAAATAATGCAATCAAGAAATGGGCAGAGGACATGAACAGACATTTCTGCAAAGAAGACATCCAGATGGCCAACAGACATATGAAAAAGTGCTCCACCTCATTCGGCATCAGGGAAATACAAATCAAAACCACAATGAGCTACCATCTCACACCAGTCAGAATGGCTAAAATTAAGAAGTCAGGAAATGACAGATGCTGGCGAGCATATGGAGAAAGGGGAACCCTCCTACACTGTTGGTGGGAATGCAAGCTGGTGCAGCCACTCTGGAAAAGCAGCATGGAGTTTCCTCAAAAAGTTGAAAATAGAGCTATTCTGTGACCCAGCAATGGCACTACTGGGTATTTACTCTAAAGATACAATGTAGTGATCTGAAGGGGCACATGTACCCGAATGTTCATAGCAGCAATGTCCACAGTAGCCAAACTATGGAAAGAACCTAGATGTCCATCAACAGATGAATGGATAAAGAAGAGGTGGTATATATATAAAATGGAATACTATGCAGCCATCAAAAGAAATGAAATCTTGCCATTTGCAATGACATGGATGGAACTAGAGGGTATTATGCTGAGTGAAATAAGTCAATCAGAGGAAGACCATTATCTCCCTGATATGAGGAATTTGAGAGGCAAAGTTGGGGGTATGGGGGTTAGGGAAGGAAAAAATGAAACAAGATGGGATCGGGAGGGAGAAAAACCATGAGACTCTTAATCTCACAAAACAAACTGAGGGTTGCCAGGGGGAGGGGGTCATGGAGAGGGTGATTGGGTTATGGACACTGGGGAGGGTATGTGCTATGATGAGTGTTGTGAAGTGTGTAAGCCTGATGATTCACAGACCTGTACCCCTGGGGCAAATAATACATTATATGTTAATTAAAAAAAAAGAACAAAAGAAACCGTAATAGCCAGAAGCCTAAGGAGACATGACAAATATTATGTGGTATCCTGGAGGGGATCCTAGAATAGGATATTAGGTAAAAACTAAGAAAAGAATGAGTAAAGTATGGATTTTAGTTAAAAAAAGAAAAAAATTCTGAATTTAAATAAAAGGAGAATTTGAGAACATTTCAGGGACTACTCACTAGAAATAGTGAAGCTATTTCATGTTGAAAAATCATCTAAGAATTTGGTAGGGCAGATTCTAAGACCTTGACTTTAGGCCAGTTTAGTTTCCAGGCACTGATAAAATTTTGTAAGTTTTCAGGCTCTGAAGCTTTGTTTTTAAATTTGTGTCTTTTCACTGACCATGTAAAAGGTATTTCAGTTGCACAGTCTTGATTTTAAAACCTTCTTACTGTTTAGGATCTTAGAATTAATTCAAGTTATTACCTTATTTTCTTGATCTGCAAAATCTTAAATCTAAATACACTCCTTAGAATGCCTTAAAACTAAAGAAGTAGTTGTGGTTTGTTTTGTGTCTGGGAGCAAAATAATTTTTTTTAAAGATTTTATTTATTTATTTGACAGACCATGCACACACACACACACACACACACACACACACACAAAGAGAGCATAAGCGGGGGGAGGGGTAGAGGGAGAGGGAGAAGCAGACTCCTCACCAAAGCAGGGAGCCCAACACAGGGCTCAGTCCCAGGACCCTGAAATCATGATTTGAACTGAAGGCAGACGCTTAACTGACCGAACTACCTAGGCACCCCCAAGATAATTCTTAGCATTGTCTAATTTATATGACTTTTGGGGGATAGTTTGTTTTTAAGATTTTCATGCACTGTAATTTAGGTCGAATAAACTGCAGGAAAACATTAAGCCTTTTCCACTGGTTTAGTGTCCAATGAAGCAGACGTTCTATTCAGAGTTTATGTACTTCTCATTGTTTTCCTTTGCAAGATGATATAAAGAAGGGACAGCAACATTTAGGGAAATCTGGAAGATAGGAGCCTGGTTTTCAGAGAAGTCAGATTAAGATAGGAGAAAGGAAGATAATCTAGGTAAACTAAAATAATGGTAAAAAAGGCACAGAGCAACCTTTGGGCATGGTGTGTTTAGGTGCATTGGGGCTATCTTTTGGGGAGATTAAGATTGATGTGTTGGAAAGGCAAGGTTGGCCAGAAAAGCAGATGGCTTAAAGTCTTGAATTAGAGACAAATATGTTTATATTGGTGTGATTGTTGAGGAAAGGCCTTAAGCAGAGAATAGTGTGCTGAGTGTCATTTTACAAAGATAATGATGAATTCTGTTCTGTGCAGATTAATACTCAGGTAGAGAAGATGTAAGGATAGGAATGTGGCTGAGTTTGAAGGTGGAGGAGGAGGAGCAGGAGAGACTAAGGAAGTTTGTGAGAACTCTGAAGTGTGGAATGGAACATTGGGGCTGAAAGTTACAAATCAGGGGAGGGAGCTCCATGAAACATGGAGTCATAGATAGGGTCTGAATAAGAAAGGAATGTAGTAGCGGTTGAAGAGATGAGATTCTAAAGAAAAAGACCATGTGGTCTGGATGGTCTACAAATCGCAGTGAATTAGTTCCCTTAAAAAATGGAGATAGTAAGTATCTAGTACTCCTTTAGAGATTTTGATGATTGAAGTAAAGAGAAGTTAATAGAAAAAGGTTAGGATTTTAAAAGTTCTGCATAGATTTCTTTAAATACAAGTAGATGATATGGAGAAGAAGGAAGGAGAATGATGTAGGGATTAAAGATGTTAAGCAAGGGCTATTATTCAAATTCCTAGTCTAACTTTTTTCCTAATTATAAAAATCAGTAGGTGCTCGTGACAGTAAACTTGGAAAAGAAGGAAAAGTACTGCATGTCTCTAGAGATTATTATTTCAGTATATGTCCTTTCTAGCCTCCTTTTTTGTGCTTATTTTAGCGTGATTGAGATTCTTTATATTCAGTTTTGTATTCTGTTTTACATTGTGTTTTTTCCCATTTAATGCATTTTATGTAACCTTTAAATTACTGTCATTTTGTTCATAAAACAGAATTATGAGCTCTTCCTATTTTTTCGCACTAAGTCTGTACATTTACAGCACATCTGAATTCAGATTAGCCACATTCCAAGTGCTTAGCAGCTGCAAGAAATAAGGGTCTGCCTGGTGGATAGCACAGCTCTAACTCGTATAGGCCCTGTGGTTGCCCAGGGGCGCCCAGTCCCCCAGCTCACCCCACAGTTGTGGTGAGGTCCACCACTGGTGGGTTCTCAGATTTGGGTTGGGGCTGCTGTTCTGCCTCACCCCGAGGCAGCAGCCAGAAGCAGCCGTGAGACCCAGTTGAGCACAGAACCTGGCACCCATAGGGGCCAGCCTTCTCCACTCTCTGCTGCCATCCTCACCACCCTTTGGTTGCATTTTAACAGTCTTCTAATATTCCATGGAATTGAGTTACCTGCTCTGGGTTTTTGTTCTGTTTTGTTTTTAAGATTTTTATTTATTTGAGACCCAGAGAGCCCAAGCGAGTATAAGTGCAAATGGGAGAGAGGGGCAGATGTGAGAGGGAGAGGGAAAGAATCTCAAACAGACTCCACGCTGAGGGAAGAGCCTGCCACTGGGCTCCATCTCATGACCCTGAGGTTATGACCTGAGCTGAGCTGAGACCAAGAGACTGATGCTTTTTTTTCCCCCCAAGAGACGGATGCTTAACAACTGAGCCACCCAAGTGCCTCTCTGCTCTGCTATTTTTGCACATGCAGTTTTGTGTGTGTGTTGTGGGGGGTTGTGGCTATATAGTTTAAATAGGCATCTTTATGCTTAAATTAAATTAGTTCCTTACAATAGATTTCTAGAAGTCAAGTTACTGGAACAAAGTATAAATAAGGTTCTTTATAACTTAATGCTAAATGTTTCAAAAGATTCTTTTAATAGATTTTTTTTTGTAGTAGTTAATGATGTTACAAATCTATTAAATATGTTTTACTCAGTTTCTAGCTTTTAAACACAATGTAGGTTATAAAAGGAGGGAACCTGGACTGAATGTGAATGCCTTTTCCCTTTCCCCATTCTCTTTTCTGTTCCCTGTCGAATCATAAATAATTTAAGTTTTGCGTAAGTTTCAATAAGCTACTATTTTTCATGTAGGATATTGAAGACTTGGATCACTATGAAATGAAGGAAGAAGAGCCTATTAGTGGAAAAAAGTCAGAGGATGAAGGAATTGAAAAAGAAAACTTGGCAATACTAGAGAAAATTAGGAAGACTCAAAGGCAAGACCATCTCAATGTAAGTATGTGCAAATATCTAGAACCTGCACTTTTGGGATTGAGTAATTATAGGTAATATAACACTGGGCAATTCATTTAGATAACAGTCTAAGCTGCCCCCCTCCACCCTTGCCTGTGTTGTGGATTCAACCATGTTTTGTTTACCTGCAGGATTGTTGTTTTTGTTGTTAAAGTGTCTCATCTGTTCATAGCTTTCTGCCATGCTCATCTGCTTTTCATGTGCTGAAATTAACCTGCTGTTGACTGTGTATATCTCCTTTCCAGTATTTATACTGCTTACCCTTCTATGAGATCTGTATATTTAAATTTAGTGTCTTCTACAATGTAAAGTTTAAATTCTTCGCCACCAAACTGCAATTTGGTCTGTTGTGCTCTAACCAAACCAAAAGTATTTTTTTCTTTTGACTTAACATAACTTTTATGTGAAGTGACATGGGGCTTGAAATGAACGTTTAGTCTAGTAATAAACATAGCTCTGTGGCTTCAGTTTCCTCAGCTTTAAAATATAGAGAATATATACCTTTTGGATGATTGCTCAGAAGAATAAATGAGAATGATGCTTATAAAATGCCTAAAGTGGGGACATTTTTGTTTCAACACTTCCTTCTTACTTCCTGCCTTGTTTTAGAGCTCTTTATGAAACCCATGACATCTGAGGACCTCTGTCTGGGTGTAGGTTCTCAAAAACCAGGAATGAATTATTATGTAGGGAGATGGCAGGTGTTGGAAGCAGATTACTCTCTCCCCTTCAGTCTCACTATATTAATTTAGTTGGCAAAGTTTTTTTTTCAGAAAAAAAAAAAAATTTAGCTCTTCCCTTATCTTGATTATTTAAAAGAAAAAGTTTGTGCATTTAAATTAATGATTTCTGTACTTTCTCTCATGATTGCTTTCAGTTTGTATATTATAGTCAAAATGAATACAAATTATTGAATGTTTTCATGTGAGGGACACTAAGTACTTTAAACTTTACGTACCTTCCCATTTAACCTTTATAGCTACTTTATAAAATATCGTTCCTATTTATAGGTATGAAACTATGGTTTAAACCAGTTAAAGTAATATACTCAAGGTCACAAAGCTAGGAAGTAATAGCTTCGTGAACCTTTGCCACCCATCCCCCAAAGTGTAGTGCAGACATTAACATTTTAAATTTCACATGACCAGGGGCACCTGAGGGGCTCAGTTGGTTAAGCCACTGCTTTCGGCTCGGGTCATGATCCCGGAATCCCAGGATCGAGTCCATCCGGCTCCCAGCTCTGCAGGGAATCTGCTTCTCTCTCTGACCTTCCCCCTCTCATGTTCTCTCTCACTCTCTCTCTCAATAAATAAATAAATAAAATCTTTAAAAAAAAATTCACATGACCAGTTCTTTTTTAAATAAAGAAATTCTGAATGTTTTTGTCCTATGAGAAATAGTTGGCATTCATATTTTGTCCTAGGATAAGACATTGGTGCATTTTCATTTTTAGAGAAATCCCAACATGGAAAAGAACTGAAATTAGTTGCATGCAGGTGAACATGTTCTTTCTCAGTTTCTTAATATGTAAAGTACCTTCAGTATGACATTCTTGCTTAGATTCTGACTAATGAAACCCTGTTTTAGTTGATAGGGTAAAATGGCAAGGGCCTTCTAGTATTTTCAAAAATTGATGGTGATACTATGTCCCGATAAGAATAGCTAAAATTAAAAAAGAATTAAGGAATGGCCAAAATCAGGAACACTGACAACATTTGGTGTTGTCACAAGGATGTGAAGCAATAGGACTCTCACTCCTTGCTCATGGGAATGCAAAATGTTACAGTCACTTTTGAAGACAGTCTGGCAGAGTCTTAGACAGTCTGGCAGAGTCTTAGAAAACCGAACATGATTTTTACCATGTATTCCTAAAGCAGTTGCAGTCTTTGGTATACCCACATGAATTGAAGACTTATGTCTAGACAATCACCTCCATACAGATGTTTAGAATAACTTTATTCATAATTGCGATACCTTGGAAGGAACCAGGGTATCCTTCAGTAGGTGAATGGATAAACTGTAGTATATCCCAAAAATATGGGATGTATTCCCTGCTAAAAAAGGAAGTGAGCTGGGCCACCTGGGTGGCTCAGTGGGTTAAAGCCTCTGCCTTCGGCTCAGGTCATGATCCCAGGGTCCTGGGATCGAGCCCCACATCAGGCTCTCTGCTCGGCAGATAGCCTGCTTCCTTCTCTCTCTCTGCCTACTTGTGATCTCTGACTGTCAAATAATTAAATAAAATCTTAAAAAAAAAAAGTGAGGTATCAAACCATGAAAAGACATGGGGGAACTTTAAATCCATATTACTAAGTGAAAGAAGCCAATCTGATGAAAAAGCTACACAGCTGTATATTTCCAACTATATCACTTTCTGGAAAAGGCAAAACTATGGACACATCAAAAAGATCAGTGCTCACCAGAGGTGGGGTGGAGGGATAAATATGCAGAGGACAGAGGATTTTTAGGGTAATGAAAATACTCTGTATGATACTATAATGATGGATAGGTGTTGTTACACATTTTACAAACCCATTTAGTGTACAGCACCAAAAGTGAACCTTAAGGTGATTTATGGATTTCACTGGTATGTGAAATGATGTGTCAGTGTAGGTTTATCAGTTTAAAAAAACATACCGTCTGGTGAGGGATATTGATAATACTGTGTTGTGGCAGCAGTAATATGGGAAATCTTTGTACCTTTCTCTCAACTTTTCTGTGAATCTAAAAATGCTCTAAAAAATAAAATCCTAAAGAGAAAAAAATTAATAGTTTAAAAAAATCCGTGTAGGGGTGTCTGGGTGGCTCAGTGGGTTAAAGCCTCTGCCTTCGGCTCAGGCCATGGTCCCAGGGTCCTGGGATCGAGCCCCTCATCGGGCTCTCTGCTCCATGGGGAATCTGCTTCCTCCTCTCTCTCTGTCTCTCTGCCTGCGTCTCTGCCTACTTATGATCTCTGCCTGTCAAATAAATCTTAAAAAAAAAAAAAAAAAATCAGTGTAGTTTGAGATAAGTTCTAGGCTATTGTAGGAACCATGGTAATCTAGACATGTTGGTTAGACATTTTTTTTTTCAGATGATAAGAAACAGTAAATGAGCCAGACCTGTCCCCCATTTTATATTTCTGTTGAAACTTCATAATCCTTAATTTAATTAAACTTCTTTGTTTTTTTATGTTGAGTTGTGATCTGTTTTTATAATCTCATTGTAAACTTTTCTTTCTGGTTTATATACCTCAAATCTTTTTAGTTATCTGACTTTGTAGATTCTGGTAAACAGCAATTTTTATGTTGCAGGGTGCAGTCTCTGGGTCTGTGCAAGCTTCAGATAGACTTATGAAAGAGCTCAGGGACATATACAGATCACAGAGTTATAAAGCAGGTAAGGACCTCTGGATCTCTACTCTGTTGTCCTTATGCTGTTTTCAAAATTTCAGATAGTGAACTTTAGTTCTTCTAATATAACTGGATAGAAACAGAGATGGTTATTAACTTTATTTTAGAGAAGTGAAATGCAGATTTAATCAAGTTATTAACAGATGTGGAAGGTAAAATAGGATGAGTTTACTTGTTCTTTGGGTTTTTGAAAATTGTTTTTATGGATACCTCATGATTTTTTTTATCTTCTTGATAACAGGGATTAACTCATGATTTTTAGATTCTGGGAAAAGTATGAGTTATATCTGCTTTGAAAAGTAAATAAGATACATATATTTTTGTATGAACAAAGAACTGTTGCCGAGTTGATTTTTATGATTTTTCCTTATTTTTTAAAAACAAAAATCAACTTTTATTGTATAGGTAGTTATGGTATCACTTCAAAAATACGTGGTTGTTTTTTTTTTTAATTTATTTCATAGTTTGACTTTGAGTGTTCTTTCTTACCTAATAAGACTTAAATATTTTGAAACCTCTCTAATTGAAGTAAAATTCCCTCTTATTGTCAGAGATTCTGACTTACTAAAATAAGGGAAAGAGCCAAATTTTAATATATTTGAAAAGGCACCTTTGTGATCCATTCAGTAATTCTGGGTGACCAAATCTAAATCATTAGAATGTACTTAAAATAAAAAGCAAAAAAAACTTTCTGCTTTAGAGTGCAAGGTAAGCCAAACTTGATTCTGAATTATTAGAAGTTTTGGCATCCTGTTTTTCTTATTAGAAGTCTAAAAGTTTATCTGTAGAAACCTCATCAAGCGCAGTTAAATATTTAAATATGGGTTTACTTTTAAATGTTAAATAATTACTTGCTTGTTATAGCATTGTTGGTAGTAGCAAAAAATTAATAATTAGATATAGGTGGAAATTGTTTAAATTATGGTATATCCATAAATAAATTGCCATACAGTTATTAAAAAGATTGACAATAGTCTTCCTATCTACTAAATTGGAAAGATGCCCTGGAAAGTTGAAGGAAGGTTAGAAAACTCTGTGGAGGGATTCCATTTTAATAGAAATATTTGCATATGCATAAAAGAAAAGTGTTAAAGTACATAGGATTTTGCATAGTTTTTCCCCCTCCCACGCACAGTTTCTCAACTCATTAAAGAATTGTCTTCATTGATGGCTTTATATAGCTTAGTTCTGTGTTTTAATAGCAAAATTTCCAGATGTTGATGGTTATTTAGTGTGTTCATTTATACTGAAGTAGTAGTTATAAGATCAAATAAAGAATAACCTAGAGGCCCCTGGGGGGGCTCAGTTGCTTAACCGTCTGACACTTGATTTTGGTGAGCCAGAATGAATTCTAGGTAATGGGAATGAGTCCCACATCAGGCTCCATGCCCAGCTTGGAATTTCCTCTCTTTCCCTCTGCCTTCCCCCAACCCCTCTCTTAAAAAAAAAAAAAAAAAAAAGGAAAAAAAGTAATCTGCGTTTCTATATCTTTACAGGGATTTATTCAGTGGAACTCATAAATGACAGTTTATATGACTGGCATGTTAAACTGCAGAAGTAAGTGACTCTTAGATGCTTACCCAGTCTTTGTAATGATAGACTATCACAATGGAAATTTTTTTCTCCCTACTTTGATACCTTGTATGCTATGGTTTTTACTTAGAACGTTAGACTGTGTTTCTATAGAAATAGTTCTCAGATTGTTAAAATAAGCTGTTTCTTAGGCTTAAATAAGTAAAGTCAGAAAGAGGAATTAGAAAAAGGACCAGCTGTGGGATAAATTGGTTCATGGAGTTAGTGAGATAATTGGGAACTACAGAAACAAAAGTGTGCTTAATAACCTGATCGCCCATGATAACCAGTTTATATTTGGAATGAGGAACTTAAGTAGGCTGGAATATATAGAACAGTTATAGACAGATTTAGATTTTGTTAGTGATTTCACTTTTTCTGGTCTTGTCTGTGATAAATTTCTCTCCTTGAATCCCTTGGCTAGTATTACAGTTTTAGAGACATTTTCTTTTTGAGTTCTTGAGAAAATATATGTACATATGACTTTCCTTTAGAATGGCTGCTAACTTCGAATCCCCTTATGGGAATGGATGTAAAATCCTGTGACCTTTTTGGACATTTAATCCCAAGGAGTCGGAGGCTATTGCGATTTATTTACCCAGGGACCATAGAGCAATGTTATGTTTGAAACTTACCCGAGGGACTCTGTTTTAGCTCTTGAACTGGTTCATTTTTCTGGTTAGTAAGAAAAAAATCTCTTGATTTTTTTATTTGAATTGTTTTTTGCTTTGTAATTCTTAGGGTTGATCCTGATAGTCCTTTGCACAGTGATCTTCAGATCTTAAAAGAAAAAGAAGGCATAGAATATATTTTGCTTAACTTCTCTTTTAAGGTAAGAAAATGTTAAGCGGATTCCATATGTTTCTAATGGGAATGTATATTTTTATATTGCTTTGGAAAACAATTTGGTGTTACTTGGTCAAGTAGAAGGTATTCATTCCCTGAAGTTCAGGAATTCTCTGCATAGTGTATACCCCACAGGAAATGAGTACTTAGGTACACCAGGAGACCTATATAAGACTGTTCAGAGCAGTGTTATTTATAATAACACCAAACAGAAAATAACCGAAGTGTCCATTAGAATGGAAAATTGTGTTCATATAAAAAGGAAAAGGTGGAGAATGTGGGTGAATCTTAAACACAACGTTGAGCTAAAGAAACCAGACCCCAAAACATGTTTCTACAATTTCCTTTGTATAGAGCCCAAAAATAGGTGAAACTAAATTTATATATTGTTTAGGCCTTGCATCTCAGTGGAGGCTGTATCCCCACTAGTCAGGTGAAAACTGGTCCTTGGAGTGAAAAAATTCTTATATATTACAATGGTCTATGGCCCTCTAAGGGACCACATTACATAAACAGTTAACGCAGTATGTCTGTGTTAAAGATAGATGAAAAAAAATTTCTAAAATATTTCTTTTTTAAAAAAATTTTTTAAAGATTTTATTTATTTATTTGACCGAGAGAGAGAGAGAGATCACAAGGAGGCAGAGCAGCAGGCAGAGAGAGAGAGAGTGGAAAGCAGGCTTCCTGCTGAGCAGAGAGCCTGACTCGGGGCTTGATCCCAGAAACCTGAGATCATGACCTGAGCTGAAGGCAGATGATCAACGAACTGAGCCACCCAGGTGCCCTGAATTTCTAAACTATTTCTAAAAAGCTTTCTTAGTAGAGCAAAAATGGAAAGGCTGAGAAACACAGGTTTATGGATCCAAACCTGGGTAGTTTCAAGAAAAGCAAAGGCATGGTTTCCATAAGTTGAGGAGAGGGGGTACATCTAGGTGAGACGGAGGGAGTTGTGAGCTGTGAAAGGGACATCTGGGGATTTCTTGGAAACTGGCTGTCGTCTGATTCTTGACCAGAGTGCTGGTTACATGGATGCATATTTTAGTATATATAATGGTATATTTTATGTACTTTTCTGAATTTATAGGTTATATTTAATAGTTTTTATTTTATTTATTCATTTATGACTGAGAGAGATAGCCAGGGAGGGAACACAAGCACAGGGGAGCTGGAGAGGGAGAAGCAGTCTCCGGGATACGGGGCTCGATCCCAGGACTGCGATCATGACCTGAGCCGAAAGCAGATGCTTAAGGACTGAGCCAACCAGGGGCCCTTTAATAGTTGTTTTTTTTTTAATGTTAAGAGTAAAGGTTGAAAAATAATGATAGTATTTTGATAAAATGTAATGATTTAATATGGAATGAGGATAAATGTATTCCTTTTAAAACACTTGTTTCAAAAAAAAAACTAGCAAGTGTTTCTAAGGAGTTATGTATTTGAATTATATGAAACTTCTTTTTGCTGTGTTCTTTTAAATTGGGAAGAAAAAAATTATGTAGCAATTGCCTTATAGATATGTCTATTTTTTCTATTTTAGTTAGGTAGACTTCAGTGCATGAGGGACTCTGGAAGGTTTGAGGACATGGAGGGATCTAAAATATAATCCCGTTTTTCAAGAGCCTACAGTTTTTCTTGGGGAGAAGTCTGTGATGAAGTCTATACTGCTTCGGAGACCATGATGAAGAGTCTGGGATTTTAACTTTTATACAGTAAAGAACCAGTAGAGGTTTTTAGGTAGGGGCATGATAGATTATCTTTTTTTAAATCAATAATTATGTCTCAGCCTTAGAATAGAGTTTGGATAAAATAGATTTCTGAGACTAGTTGGGGCTTTGATTTTAATCTGGGCAAGGAGTAATGTGCTGGAATACATGAGAGGAGGGTTTTTAAGGAAACATGAGAGAGAATACATGAGGGGTTTTTAAGGAAAAAAGCAAAGACATGAAAGAATATACTTTAAAAAAGGCTAATTTTCTGAAAACTTTTTACTTAGGTTTTGTGTATATATATTTTTGTTTGTTGATATATCCTTATTTATGATTGGACTTTGTTCAAATAACAAAAATGTCAAATGTCTGTATTTTCCCTCAGTTTTGTTATTATAGAAACTTTTGTGGTTGTCATTTGGGTTGTCTTCCTAGAGAGTGAGACTGGTATATATTTACTGAAGTTGCTAACATGACTGCATTTTTACTGATTCATATGGTGAAAAACCAGGATAGTAGCTTTAAAAAAATATATATATATGGAATGTTTTAACTCAGCAGTCTTAACAGTTTTATTAAATCATACCCATTTGTCCAATACCAAGCCTAAGAAATAGAACCTTACACCTGAAACTGATGTAAATTGTGTCAGTTATACTAAAAAAAATTAGGGTCTATTTCTTTTTTTCCCACCAGGACCTTTGAAAGCCCCCTGTGTGTCCCTTCCCTCTCACTTTCTTCTCAAGAGGTATCTTTAAGGGAATATGAAATCTTGACCAGGAAACTGAAAGACTTGTGGCTGCACTTAATGTTTTCATGATATTTTCCTACTCTAGGCAGAACTTCAGGGAGGGAATGATCTGGGAGGTAAATTCTGTTGCATTTATCTTTCTGGACCATGACTCCTGATACCAGAAAGAAGGGCCATTGCTAGGGCTGGAATATTTCTTAAGAGGGCTGAGAAGAATGTGATTGCTCTGAACTAAGTGACCTTGGCAAATTGAACTACCAAGTTATTAAGTATCAGGTTTCACAGAATTGGAGGATAGCAGGTATGACTCAGAACAGTGATTTACAGGAAGGAGCATGAATAGTATTTATGGCCTCAGATGTCCATGGTGACAACTTGAAAGTCATGAGTAATAAGAAAATGGAACTCGAGATACAGTATAACGCAAGGTTGGGGATAGGGACAGGAGGGAATGGGGACCTATTAGATTCATCAGCAGCCTGGCAACTGTATTATGCTATGCTCTTAAGGAAATGGTGGTCTGGTTTTTCAAGCCGTTTTACTGAATTACTGCATTACTGAACTGAATTCTGAGGTAGTATTTTAGAAAGGGTTTATTTAGACAACTTTGGGTTCATTTAGAAAATAGCGGCAAGGATTTGAAAGAGGTTTCCATGTCCTCTGATAGCTGGTTAAATTATAGATTTAGAGAGAAGAACATAGGAGTTCATGAGAGCTTGTTCTTAACTATTTAAAGGGCTGTGTATGTGTATGTTTTTGTTTTTTGTTTTTTTTAGATTATTATTATTATTATTATTTTTTTTTTTTTGAGAGAGAGAGTGAGCAAGCACAAGCTAGGGGAGCAGCAGCGGGAGAGGGAGAAGCAGATTCCCTGCTGAGCAGGGAGCCTGATGTGGGGGCTTGATCCCAGGACTGTGGAATCATGACCTGAGCTGAAGGCAGACGCTTAACCGACTGAGCCACCCAGGTGCCCCTCGTTTTTGTTTTTGATTAACACAAAGCATGATATGAAAACTAGTAAGTCAGACTTTAAAGAGGCAATTTTCAGCTCAGTATAAAGGAAGTGATAGCTATGTAGAGCCATTCAGTGAGTTTTTCAAGAATAGAATATTCCTCATTATTAAACTTTTCTTGAGAGGCCGAGATGTTGAATTGAAGACTTCATGATATCCTTGTAAACCTTGAGATTCTCAGTTTCTGCGTTAGTGTACCCAGATAACTCAAATGTCTATTTTAACAGTCATCCTCATCCTCCCCACCATAACCCTTTAAGGAACTCTTATTCCTATAAAATATTAATTACTGAGTTCCATGGTGCAGTTTATGTTTATGGAGCAGAATCTCTAGGTTTTGATGTGGAGGAGTTACTCTGAAGAATTACTTAAAATGAAGGTAGTTCTCCTGGTCATATAATCAGTTTAAAAAGGCTTATCTTTTGGGATCACATATTTAAAGATCTAAAGAGTAGGAGATTAAATGAAGTTGTGCTTTACTAAGCTTTGCATCTATACCCTTAATTATATCTGTTAAGTAGCTCACCTTTTATCTACAGTTTATTTGAAAGTAGGTTTAGTAATTGTCATTAAGTTGGCATCTTGTGTGGGTAAGTTCTCCCTTGCAGTAGAAATCTAAGATTATCTGATTTAACCACCAGAAGTATGCTTTTTATCTGCTTTTCCTGTTAGAATTGCATTTTCATAGTTTATATGTTCCTTAGAATCTTATTTGAGGATGGGTGAAAGTAGGGAGTTAAAGTAAGTTACTGGAATTATGCTGCTTATTCTTCTGGTTCAAACTATATTTTTGTGTTTATTGGAAATAAGTGGATGAGACAGATATTTGTTTACCTCCCTTAGCCTCAGATTCGTTTGAGGCAATTAGTTCTTCCTTTTTATTTGACCACAGAAATTGAAGGTAATTTCTCTTAGACTTCCTGTCATGTCTTCATTAGAGGCAGTGTGCTTTTTCCTTACCCGACTGCTGTAGGGAAATGAGGGGCAGCCTTCTTGGCTTCCTGAACACCAAGAGACAAACCTCTAATGCTCTTGGCCACCTTGGCTACCATTGTTGATTTAGTTCATAAAGAGAAAAATCTCTGTTCTTCAGGGAATCTGCTTCTAGGACTGAGAATTTGAAAAAGAGAATTGTTCTTGGTAGCCTGAGAATTAGTTGAGGTTTCTTTTCTCTTCTCTTCATATATTTTTATCAAGTCTGATGATCTTTGTCTTTTAATTAGAACAGTTAGTCTATTTGCATTTAATATTATTTGACATTTGGATTTCAATCCCATCTCCTAAGTGCTTTTTACTTTTCTTGTTACTCCCATTTTCCTTTTTCTCATATTTTGGATTTTTTTTTAATTGTTGCAGTTTCTCACCTCTTTTAGCTTAGTACTTGGGTGTTCTCTTACTCTTCTTTACTTCTTTATTGCCAAGCAGCTACGGTGTATATCCTTGTCAAAGTGTAACGTAAATTTAATTTGTATTTTACCTTTTCCTCATCAATGCGAAGACTTAGAACGTGGATTCCCTGTCAAATATGTGCTTTCATTTTCTGTACTTACCTAGAAGCTATACATCATTGTTCAGTAATTAGTCAATATTCAGTCACAATTGCATATTTGCTCTTTTCATAGTCTTTATTCTTCATATTTCCATCTAGAGTCCTATTTCTCCTGTCTGAAGAATATTCTTTATATCCTTTAGCTTGGATCTCCTGACAAGAAAACAACTTTATTGTGAAATCATTTTTTGGAAAGTATTTGAATTGGGTATAGATTTTTAGATTAGAAATTTCTTTTAGCAACTCAAAAACTTACCATTCCCTCTCTGGGGCTTCCATTATTTCCTTTGAAATATTCATAGTGCCTACACCTTGTCTTGTCTTTCAATTTTGGAAAATTCTCAAGACGTTCTCTTTAAATATTGCTTCAGTCCCATTCTCATGTTATTTTAGGGCTCTATATATGATAAGCCTTTCTAATACATTCCCCTGTGTCTTGTCATTTTCTGCATTTTCTACCTTTTTCTCTCTTTTGGCTTCATTCTGGATGTCTTTTTGGCCTATTTTCCTGTACACTGAATTTCTCTTCCACTAAGTCTCTACTGTGGTTCAGTTCATCTGTTAAGTTAGTGATTTCAGTCATTACATTTTTAAGTTTCAGAATTTCTGTATGGTTCATTTTTATAATTTTAGTCCTTTGCCAGGATTTTCAATCTTGTCTTTTTTCTTTGCTTGTACATATTCAACATAGCTGTTTTAAAAGCTATGTCTGCTAACTCTATATAATCTTGAACCCTTACGGTTTTTGTGTCATTTGCTTCTCATTTCCTGGACATCTTTGTCTTAAGTCTTAAGTCTTGTGTAATTTTCCATTTTTGGGAATAGACATTTTAAGTGAAAAATTAGCTAATTTTGGAAGCCTTAGATGGTATTCTTCTCCAGAGAGGGTTTATATTTGTCCTTGTCTGTCTTGGGCACTAGCAGTCCAGTATCAGTGAATCCAGTCAGGGATTTAGGTGATGTAAAGTTGGACTTCATTCCTTGTCAGTTAGGTCAATTTGTCATTTGTCCTTCAGGGTCCCAACCTAAAGTGTGGGAGACTTGTCAAGGCCTCTCCTTGGTGGACCCCAGATCCAATTTTTACCTCCACAGCCCTGCAAGTGTGAGTCTGAGTTCTACTGAGCTTCTTGACTTCTTACCTTTCTCTTCTGTAATTGAAAGAAAACCTAAGGTTTGGGGGTTGGGGGAGAGGCCTGGCGCTCTCTGGGATTCCCTTTTTCTTCCTGATCTTAGCTCTGTAATTGTTAAATTTTTAAAAAATTGTTAAAATTGTTAAATTTTGTCCACCTCTTCTAATTGTCAACCAGAGGATTGCTCTAAGTTACCTAGTGTATCATTATTGGAACGGTCCCTTTATATAGTTTTATTGGAAGTGGAACACCCCTTCATATTTTTTATAACTGTTTGGCCATGTTTTTGTTTTTGTTTTTTTTTTTGCTGTGGTTTTTACTTCATTTTATTTTTGGTACTATTTTTACTTTTATGACCCTTATCATGAATAATAAATGCACACATTCTTTATAGACTATTTTAAAATCTTTGAAATAATATAGTATTAAAGGGTTTCTTCAAATTAGTTAAACTTTCCCATTTGCATTTTAGGATAACTTTCCATTTGATCCTCCGTTTGTTCGAGTGGTGTTACCTGTTCTCTCAGGAGGGTAAGTTTAAGTAACTATTTTCTTTGATAGTGTATGTAAGAATCATTTGGAAGATTAGTTAAGTGCTGAGAGGCCTAGAATGCTCAGCTTTACCCCAGGGTTACTGATTCACTCAGTCTGGGTAGGAAAAGCTGAGAATATGCATTTCTACAATTCTAAGATGGTCTCAGGTGAAGCCGATATTGCTCATATGGGAACCATCATTTGAGAACCGTTATGTTGTTTATCAGTAGAAGTTTTTAATGTCCCCTATTTGTATACATTTCATCATAAAAAACCAAATGTTTTTCAAATATAAATTGTGACTGATGGCTTAGAGAAAGATTTGAGAATGATTCTCACAAGCCTATGATCCCTGGAATAATCACAGAAAAATCTTGTGGGCTCCTTCTCCCTGCTCATTGAGCTACAATGCAAGGTGGATAGAATTCATATAGAAGAGTTTTATGAAATTGTGCTGACAAAATATCTTATCATTATGTTGACAGAGTTTTTGGTGTTTTGTTTTAATTTTCTTTTTTCCTGGTAAGCAAGCTATTAGCTTGTTCAGGAACAGGAAAATACAGGAAAGAGAATGTTTTAGAAAGAAACGTGGGTAACAGTGGAAGAAGATAGATTGTGTTCACAAAGCCTGGAAGAATGCAAGACTAGTTAATAGGGGAGGCCCTGTCTTGGGGCACCAGAATGTCTCACTGGGTTGAGTGTTGGACTCGAATTCAGCTCAGGTCATGATTTCAGGTCATAAGATCAAGGTCTGCCTTTGGCTCTGTATGTACTCAACGCAGAGTTTGCTTTTTCTCTCCCTCTCCCTCTTCCCCTACCCTTGCTCACATAGGCAGCCCCTCTTTCTCTCTCTCCCTCTCTCTCTCAAATAAATCAATCTTTAAAAAAAAAAAAAAAGTTGATGTCTTAGAGTGAAGTGAGGACAATCTAAATTGGTACAGCGGGAATGGAAATATGAATGGAAGGGGAAGGTTAATGTGAAGCAGAATCAGAGTGACTTGGTCTTCATAGTCAACTGTTAAGTGATGAGGAGGATTTATTGGCTAGCTTGGGAAGAACTAAAAAATGTGAAGGACTGATAAAACAGAGTTTTGCAATCTCAGACTCAGGCTAGAGCTTAACCACTGAGTGACTCTGATCAGATTATTGAGCACTTTTTGTCCCATGTATTTTATATTCTCCATCTTCTAGCTATTATTCCTGTGTTCCTTATCATAGCCATACCTTTTTTAAAAAATAATAGCTTCAGGGGCACCTGGGTGGCTCAGTGGGTTAGAGCCTCTGCCTTCGGCTTGGGTCATGGTCCCAGGATCCTGGGATCGAGCCCCACATCGGTCTCTCTGCTCCGTGAAGAGCCTGCTTCCTCCTCTCTCTCTGCCTGCCTCTCTGCCTACTTGTGATCTCTCTCTGTCAAATAAATAAATAAAATGTTAAAAAAAAATAATAGCTTCATTGTGATACAGTTCACATACGCCACCCTATGAAAGTACAGTTCAGTGTTTTTTTTCATATATTCATAGAGTTTTGTAACCATTGCTGCTATCCAATTTCAGAACATTTTCCTCATCCCCAAAAGAAACCCTATACCCATTAGCCGTCATTCGTCCTTCCTCCTCAAACTTCCCATCCCACTGACAACCACTAATTTCCTTTCTGTCTCTAAGGATTTTCCTGTTTTTGTATATTTCGTGTACATGTGAAGTGGAAATTAATATAATTTCATGTAAGTGGAACAATATGAAATGTAGCCTTCTGTGGCTGGCTTCTTTCACTTAGCAAAATGTTTTTAAAGTTCATGTATATTGTAACATATATTAATACTTAATTCCATTTTATGGATGAATATTCCATTGTATGGCTATACCACATTTTATTTATTTGTGGACATTTATTGTTTCTGCCTCTATCATGTATAATGCTGCTATGAACATTCACATGCATGTTTTTATCTGCATGGATATCTTAATTTCTCTTTCATATATACCTGTGTGGAATTAGTAGGTCCTCTGGTAACTGTTGAACTTTTTGATGAAATGCCTGACTCTTTTCCAAAGTGGCTGCACCTTTTATACTCTTACAGCAATGTTTATGTAATCACACTCTTCACTTCCTGTTCACTCTTCAGCCACTGTCACCTGGCATTAGCAGTTAATATTCCTCCCAAACCACTGTTGCCAACAGGGATTTCCACATTGGTAAAACCAGGTGTCCCTTTTCTGGCTTTATTATATTTGATTATCTGATTTCTCAGCAAGATCAGAAGATTTTTCTTTTGGCCACTGGCTGCATCCTCTCAGTCTCTTTAGCTGGTACCTCCTTGTACACCTAACTTCTACATGTTGGATTTCTTCAGAATTTGGTACTAGGTCCTTTTTCTTTTCTCTTCCATTCCTGTGGCTTTTTTTTTAATTGAAATTTTTTAGAAAATTGTATGTTCACATGCAGCTGTAAGAAATTAAGTAAAGGTTCCTTATATACTTCGCCAGTATAATGTTTCACAAAACTGTAGTGTAATATCACAATGAGGTTTGATAAAATCCATAGAACTTAGATTTTCCCAGTTTTTCTTATAACTCATTTGTGTATATGTATGAAGTTCTGCATAACTAGATCACCTGTGTAGGTTTGTGTATCCACCACCACAGTGAAGATATTGAAGTTCCAAATACATAGGAATCCTCCTTCTTGTCTTCTCAAACCATGCCCATCTCCTCTTACACACCCAATTCCCCTAACTCCTGGCAACCGCTGAGCTTTCCTGCATTTTTGATGTTTTGTCATTTCAAAAAGCATAGCTAGATAAATGGAATCCCACATTTTGGGATTCTAACGTCTAGGAATTAGTATTTTTAACTCATCCTGATTCCCTGAGATTCATCTACTTATATGACTAGTTTGTTCATTTTTATTCTGTGGTATACCACGTACTACAGTTTAACCAGACACTTCTTGAAGGACTTCCAGCCTGATTCTAGTGTTTGGTTATTGCAAATAAAGCTATGAGTGCTTCTATACACATTTTTGTATGAATGTGTTTTGCTTTCTCATGTGTTTTGCTTTTGCATGTCCAGGAGTACAGTGGCTGAGTTCTATAGTTATTATAGCATATTGAATTATTAAAAAAATTGTTAAACTGTTTTACATAGTGGCTTACCATTTTATATTCCAACAAGGAATGTATAAGTGATCTAGTTTCACTACATCCAGCACTTGGTTTTTCCATTTG